TATGCTGATCAAACCAGTAGGGAATATCATCCCTTTGTGACCATTCAGAAGCAGATGAATCTGTCAAATATAGGAAAAGAAATAATTTAGTCAATTGCATGACGAGAAAAGGAGGATAGTACAACCATAGAGCAAAATATTTCACTAAGAACACTAAATATGCATCATCTCATGCACGTGAAAACATTGTGAAGCTATCTACCAATAAATTTCCAAGAACATGACTGGTGCAATACTTCATGTTTTTTACACCATTCTCAACATGCAATGATTTTTACACACATGCACACACACTAGAGACCTGCATGATCACAAAACCAGAGGAACCTCCTCTATAGATACATATTACACAATTTTGTATCTATTAGTGTGATTACTACTACATGACCCAAGAAAACAGCAGTTGAATCTCAACCAAAATGTTACTGACCTAACATTTCACAGGTCCTTTCTTTAACTGGTGGATCTTTCCCCACTTAAGATCATCAAGTTAATAAAAAGCTTCAAGGAGAAGCCAACAGATTCGCATAGTAATCAATGCATGTACATTAAGCAAAATATAAGACAAATTTCAAAGAAATTATTAGAAAAGGTTTTGTTAACAAGTGTCCTAAGGATATTGATTAAAACAATTCGTAAGGAACATGTAATAACACTATTAAAAGCTTCTAATTACTAAAATAATGTATTAAATGGGATGGAGATTTTGTCTTGTAAATATACACTAAATACTTTGTTTTCCAATAAAATATTTCTAATTTACTTTGTTAAGGGCACGGGAACTATTTATCATATGTCTAATAAAATAATGATACAAAGTAACAAGTTACTTTGTCACCACAAGATTATAATTTCCTATCACAATTTAAAGCCACAAATAGATGATAATACCATCTTTAAACATATTGAAATCCAATCCTAAGAACCTCAAGTGTTAAAAATATGCAATTTAATTTAACAAAATGATAAATGTTGAAAAGTAACATCAATTAGCTGAATTCATTGCAATTGCTTACTCACTTTCTCTTGATCCCCGTTCACCAATAACTCCTGGGCTTCTTGGTCCACTAACAACCTTGTTCAACTGGAAAAAAAAAATTTTAAAAAACTTAATATCTATTTGCATAAATAAAAATGTATAATAAAGGTTACATACTCAGTTGCTGACAAAATTCAAAGACGTTATTACAGTTAATGGCAGAAATTAAGAATGGTTATATACTACTACTAATAATGTGCATTGTTTTATTAGATTTACTTATGTGTTTTAGGTGATATTATTTTATATAAAGGTTTTTAGGAGAAGTTACTCTGCATTTTTTATGTAAAAAAAACATTGCAGTTAGAAAATGTAGGAATTGCTACAACTCTGGGACAACTTCCGCTGCACTTCTCTATTCAATTAGTAAACAAGAGACAATTACAAATGGATCTAATTCAGGATTTCATCATTTTATTGATGAGTATCAAATGACTATTAAAAAGGTATAATAACCTCCTTAAATAGAGATGATCACATAAGATGGATTACAAGGGAAGAAATTTATATTATGAGCAAAATACTACGGGGTGTATGAATCATGTTAGCCACGTTTAGTATGGCAGGTTCAACAATAGACTGGTTTTACCTATGGAGAGAAACAGAATAGCATTTCACTTGGGAAAATTTAAAAAGGCTATGTTGCAAGATTAGGAGAAAGAAGACCGGGGAACCTATACAGTTTTATCTAACAATCCCCAGCATCCAGAGAAAGCATGATATGTCAGAGTTTCAGGACCTTACCTTTAAAAAAGTGGTAGTGAGATCATCAATATCAGAAAGTGATCTTATATCCTCCACCTGCAATGTGGAAATATCAGTTAGTTGGAGGAAATTCTAGCACCTTAGCTGCAAATATTAATTTATGTCACACATTACTAGAAATTGAGATAAACCCGATAAAAGTCGTAAATAATGTTCTAGCAAAGACTAAGCAGTACCACAACTAAATATTCCAAGACAATTCAACATGTTAGAAAAAAATTATCATGAATGTTTTAGCAACTATAAATTCAAGTGCTAACACGGAATATTGATCCACCACCATCTCATTAACTACATCAACTACTCAAAAAACTTCTGTTTAGGGAGATCAGGCAAATGACACTAGTTTGCAGTAACCAGTTATGAAAAAATAATTTTATTACAAAAAGCACTCAATATGCAGGTATCAATATTAGTTTTGTCAATTCAAATGATGAAGTATGATATATATTTTTACTAAATTATAAGTCTCAGATAATTTAGCTTTGTAAAAATCTAGATATATAAGCCCAAACTTGAGGAGGAATGTTTGAAACAGGTATGACTACAATATGATGAAGTATGATAGATATTTTTACTAAATTATAAGTCTCAGATAATTTAGCTTTGTAAAAAGCTAGACATATAAGCCCCAACTTGAGGAGGAATGTTTGAAACAGGTATGACTACAATGTGTATCATGTATATTTAGTATAATTTAGTAATTTATCAACAAGCAAAACAGACATTGTATCACTATAGCCAAAAATTTTAAAAGATAAATTATAGATCAACATTTAAAATTCCTTTCATTTCCTTTTTTCAAGATTCTCTACTTCTACAAAACATAACTGCAATTGAAACTCTACGGTATGCACAAGAGAAGACAGGGGAAAAGCTTGCAGCTAAGCACCCAAAAAAAAATATTTTGGTCAACCACATAAAAGCATGAGTAAATTCAATGCACCACTTGATAATGAAAGGAAGAAAACATAAACAGTTAAACTAAATGAATACGGTCAAAATGCTTATACTTTAAAACATTGTATCCACATATAATGTAAAACTTCGAAAAAATGACATAATTCAACTGAATAATAACCTCTTCTTTATTGAGAAAGAAATCTTCCTCATTGAATTCAGCACCAAGCATGGACTTATATTCATCTTCTAACCCCCCCAACTCAACTTCCGCAGCAACATTTTTACCAAAGAATGCATATTGTGATGCATCAAATACTTCACCTTCTGCGTAAAAGAAGAAAACCAAATCAAAGACATGTCAACAGCTTCTTTCAACAGTTTTAACATATAAAAACAGTTTGCAGTTTGCACATAGAAAAGCCCACCAATAAGAAAGATTAACCACCTTGTAAAACAAAAGTATGGATGATGATGTTGATGATAGGTCACAAGATTTTCAGTTAGTATACAACAAACAACAAGGCTCTCAAATAAATTTGAATGAAATGGCACATGTGCAATCTTCTTGGCAGTTATACGTTGAAGAAATACTGATATACATTGCACTTACCTACTAAAGCAACCAACAACAGCATAAACCCAAATATATCCATAAATTTTCAGAAAATGATATCAATTCAGACTTTACAATAAGAAAGATAAAACTTTTCAAAATTACCAAGAATCTAAACGTTGGTTCAGACCTTACAAGACCTCATTCGTTGCAGTGAACTAAACATATTAAAAAAACAACTTGAAACGCAAAGAAGATAGTTTGATCCCCACTTAGTTTCTCACGGTCAAACTACTAAGTAAGACCAGATCTACAAGAAGAAGCAGAATCATAATAATAATAATAATAATAAAACAAAGGGGTTATTACATCAAGCACATAAGAAAAAAGGTCATGAGAATCTTGCAAGAAAACTAAAATTAACGCAGCGGAAGGCAAAACAGAACAAAGCAAAACAAAATAATGAAAAAGAAACGAACCTTTGGAAGTTTGTCCTAATTGTTTGTGATCTTCGGTGTTGGGAGCAGCGGCACTAAACCCATCCATGAAAGAAGACAGAAACGCGAACGGTGAAGAAGGGAACTTGAACGCACCCCACAAAGTTATGTGTGCGTAATTGAGCAGAGCTATGTGTATTAGGTCATGGGAAAGATTGAAGAAATGGGTTTGGGTTGAGAGAGAGGGAAGGGGAGAAGAACCCTACCAGAGAGAGTGTCTGCTAAGGTTGCGTACCTAATTATTATTTTTTTTTAATTTAACTAAGGAAACATTCAATTTTCGGTGAAATTGTGGTTTTTTCGGGAATTCCGTGAATATAATAAACTTTTTTATTATTTTTATTGGACGAAGAAAAGGACAAAATTACACATGATAATTTTTTTAATTTTAACATTGATAATCATACTTTTCTAATAAAAACGAAATTTCATTTTTTTTAATATCTAACTTAAATGTAATCTTCTTTATATATTTAATAAAGTAATATTTATATTTCTTATTTTATTTAAAAATATTATATTGACTAAAACTTAAGTAAATTTATTGAAAATAAAAACTAAAAGTTTAAAAATATAAATATTTTATAAACAAAGCCTAAGTTGTTTAATTTTTATTAAATTATATACAAACACTTTGAATCAATAAACAAAAGTTATTGGAATGTAAATTTGTTGTCTTTCAATGGAAAAGATTAGTATTAAGAGTATAATAATGATTTTTCATAAATAATTAATATTGAACATGATTTTTTCCTGTTACATAACTAAATTCGACAATTTTTATAATTAAATAATCCAATATTGATTTAGTATTATATTTGTCTTTTATTTTCATCTATTTATTAGAGAGACAAATCTAAAATTTGATTTCATTTTAATCTTTTAAATTAAAAAAATTTATTGCTATTTTTTTAAATGGAAGTTTATAGTTGTTAAATACTAAATTCAAGAAACCATTTTTAGTTTATGTACAGTAAATTTAAATAGATAAATTTACTTTTTTCAGATTTTTTTTTAATTTTTAGACATAAAAAATCACATTTCTTCATAATTTCGGGGACTAAAAAGTAAATAATAATAAAAACTATATTCTAAACAAGGCTTTAGAAATTGGCATGAAAAACCTAATCAGAAACGGGGGGCATAGAATACGCAATTGGAAAACGTTGAAAAGTGGATTATAATAGAGTGCGGCAAGAAACACACTGTATTCTATCTTCTCTGCGTGTGTTGGTGCAAGTAAATGGCTAGAGCAGCTTGCAATCACCTTCACATGGTTCCCAATTTAGTTCATCCATTGAAGTCAACCCTCTTCACAAGCCACACTCTTTCCACCACCCGCACTCGCTTCTATGACATTCACCGAAGGCTCTTTTCTTCTTCATCCAAGATAAGCATGAGCCTCAGGGCTGGTATCGTTGGCCTCCCCAACGTTGGCAAGTCCACACTCTTCAATGCCGTTGTGAGACACACTCTCTCTCTCTCTCTCTGGTTATTCTTTTGAAATGAAGTTTTATCCTGTGACTTTATATGAGGCATTGTAGGACACTAAATGTGGACACTTTTTTAAGCTGGGATTTGAACCTTAGTTTGCTACGCTGACTAGCCTCTTCTGCTAGATCAATTTCTAGTTGTTAAATTATAGGTCTTTATTCTCTTTGTTTTTCATCCATGCAGTTTAAGTATTGGTCATAAACTCATTTGGGTGTGTAGATGATTTTGCTACATTGGTGAAGACAAGAAGGCAATCATTAAATTTGCTCACGGGGGATCGTTCAATGGTCAAGTTTTGATTTTTATGATTTGTTAAAACATATTTCTCAACTTAAAAGTTTTTCAAGAAACATATCTAAAATTGAATTCAATGAGTTTTCAATTGTGCACTTTTGGTAGCAGGGAATGTTTGACTAAAGTGGATAAGTAGTGTTCAATGTGTAAGAATTCCCAGCTTTCCTTGATATCTTGAATAGGGTACATTGATCACAAATTGCCACTTGGCTTGATTTAAGACTAGAGATTCATAAATTCTGTGTAAAAAATAGACTGCATATACTTGGTAAACTTTTTGACATTAATTCTCTGCTCATGAATATTTTGTAGCTATTACAAAGAGGAATAGACGTGTACATCTTGTTTAATTCCTTTCTAATTGTCTACATATTTGTAGAGTACCAAAGTAATCTATATATGTCAATGAACGCTTTTGACAATGCAAACAAAAAGTACAGTTTAGTTGGCAACACCTTTTGGTGGAAATTTGGTGAAATGCTTACTAGATCCCTTAGAAGTTTGAAAAGTCGATGCCGAGGTTGAATCTAAGTGCACTGTTTCCAAATTTCTTCCTTATATAATGTAGAGAAGGCTTTCTTGTGATGCGGTGACTTTATATCAAAACTTTCTTAATTATACGAATACCAAACAGCAGAATACGTTTTATGAGATTTGAAAGTTACAGGTTTTGAAATTATGACATGGATTTATTATTCTAGGCAAGTGGATAGTCTACCCATGAATCAATTCGTAAGGTTCCTCTATGAAATAGCAAAGGACAAATATGAACTTGTGAATGGCTACTGTTTGAAAATACAAATTTCATTATTATATTAGAATTAAGTTTTGTGGTAACTGCATATGCGTGTGTGTAATCAACTAACTAGCAAAATAGTGTGCCGACTTTTTCATCTAGTTTGTTTGATTTAATTTCAATGTTTTGGCTGATTGATTTGTTAATGTTTTGTGTGTATCCCTAGTTCCCAAGCTAGCATAATGTATCAAATATTAGTTAATATAATGGTCTTGTATGTCTAGGTGGAAAATGGAAAGGCTCAAGCTGCTAATTTTCCATTTTGCACAATAGAGCCAAATGTAGGGATTGTTGCTGTTCCAGATTCTCGTCTCCATGTTCTCTCTGATCTCAGCAAATCTCAGCGGTCTGTTCCAGCATCAATAGAATTTGTAGATATTGCTGGGCTTGTCAAGGGTGCAAGTCAAGGCGAGGTTTTTTTAATTTCTCTTCTCTATGTTTTTGGTCTCAACAAATTGCTTTTATCTTATTTTTAACGAACTTTCATATATTTTGGTGGTAGTAAGTTGGCATATGCATTGCATTGATCTCTCTATTCTTACTTGTTGCAGGGGTTGGGTAACAAGTTTTTGTCGCATATTCGTGAGGTGGATTCTATACTTCAGGTGTTTATCTATCATCATTTCCTTGTCATATTATCTTGGATGATTACATCTAATCTTTTTGTTCCCTGTAGTTCCCTTATTTTATAAACCAATGTAGAAGCTATGTACAAATTGCAAATCTTAAATTGGAGTTTGGAAACATCTGTATGTGGTCAGGGTAGTTTTAATTCCCTTTTCTGATTTAAAATTTCCGTGGATCGATTGATTTTCAATATCAAATCAGGTTGTACGATGTTTTGAAGACAACGACATTGTTCATGTAAATGGGAAAGTTGACCCCAAGTCTGATATAGATGTTATCAACTTGGAGCTTGTTTTCTCAGATTTGGACCAGGTCAGCTTACTTATCCTTCTAATTGTGTTGGTGCCGCATTTGACTGTTTATGATATTTTGTCGTGGTCTATTGATTTGTTTGGACGATATTATATTATCTTCCTTCCTCGTGCTTCTGGATTTTTGGAGTCTATGTGTGCATGCACAAACACTCAGCTATGGAATTATATGACAAAATTTACTGTAAGCTAATATATTCCTTTTTAACAATTGCAGATTGAGAAAAGAATTGATAAGCTAAAGAAAGGCAAGGCAAAGGATTCACAATCTAAAGTCAAGGTTATAGTCTTCAACTGCTACCACTTGTCATCAACTTGTGTTTATTAGTTGAAATTCAACTTTATATTGAGAATCTTGATTCTAGGAAGAGGCAGAAAAGACTGCATTGGAAAAGATTCAAGAGGCGCTTATGGATGGAAAGCCTGCACGATCTGTGACCTTGACAGATTTCGAAAGGGATGCTGTAAAGCATCTCTGCTTGCTCACCATGAAACCTATTATATATGTGGCAAATGTTGCAGAAACCGATCTTGCAGATCCTGCAAACAATAATTATGTTAAAGATGTTACAAATGTTGCATCTCAGTTGCAGTCCAGAATTGTAACAATTTCAGCACAGGTATACATTTAGAAGGCTTTTTGAGTTCATTACACTGTTAGATAAATAGTGATGTTAGCCTCTCTTTTCTTTTCCTTTTTTTTAACGTCTGTAAAAGTTAATTAAGCTTCTTCAACAAGCTTTCTTGCTTTAATAAAAATGCCAGAAGTATTGGCAGGTCTCCCTCTTCAATGGTATCTGAAGGAAGGGGGGTGGCATCTGCATGCATTGCATGTCGTGATCATTAAACTCATACTTGTCATTCGAAAGAGAAAAAACGTAGATGGAAAGAGATGCTGAAAACTGTGCATGAACTACACAACTGAGTCCATTTTATGAGCTGATGACAATAAATACATGATATGATATGCCTATAAATTTTATTCTAATTAGATATTCCTATAATTATGAAGATCCTAATTAAATAAGAAAACAAATCAAAATATAATAGAATAATAAATCCTAAGAGATCATCTAAGATACTCCAAAATATTCTAAGATAATATTTTTTTATATTTCTATTTTTAACACTTATGAAGTGATAGAGCACATGCATGCAAGCCTCTGAGTTGTTCATCATTCTTGTGGTTCAACCTCAAGGAGTCTTAGAAGGTTATGACTGGTTACGATCCAAAATATTGCCACCAGATGTGCTTTATCTAGAGAGAAAATGGTAGAATCCAATTGAAAGTTACGAGACTTGAGCCCCATGTTGGAAGCATGAGATTGTGGTATGGGGTTTATAAGGCCTTGAACTCCAACCAACATAATTTTTGTTGTCATTAAAGTGTTCACTGGAAATAGTGTATATAAACTTTTTCAAGAACCTTTACTTGCCGGTATATCATAATCTCTGAATATTAAAGGAAGAATTATTGATACTTTGTAAAAGTCACCTTAGTGAATCAAGATGGGGATATTTGTCCTTGCAGGTTGAGGCAGAGCTTACTGAGTTACCACTTGAAGAACGACAAGAATATTTGCAGTCTCTTGGTGTTAGTGAAAGTGGTCTTGGAAACCTAATCAGGGCAACTTATGACCTTTTGGGTCTGAGAACTTACTTTACTTCTGGTGAGAAGGTAAGGGAAACCTGGAAATGTTTTTGAGAGAATACAGTATAGAATACCCTGTTAAACATGTATATAGTAACAAGTAATAGCATTCAAAGATTTGAATTTCTTGATTATTCTAGTACTCAATAATTGTTTTCCACAAACTGTAAAATTATTCACCAAGGCATCCGAACTATAACTCCCAGAGTTTAGATTGCATATCATATTCCATGTTCATAACTGATTTTATTTTCTTATGGGTACGCAGGAGACAAAAGCATGGACAATACTTGCAGGTTAGTTTTTTCCATGGATGAGACTTTTACATTGCACAATACTATAACATTACTTTGACTTGATTTTATCCTTTTTCTGAACTCTGCTCAAGTAACTAGTCATATATTATATTAAACAGGCTTTTAAATGGAGTTTTCTTTTTGTCTCTGGATGGTAATGAAGAGATACTGTTTTTCCTCTGCTGATAAATGAATATGTACACCTTTCTTTTAAAAGGTGTGCCCATGTTTTCTATTGAATACAGAACCTGACGGATTAACCAAATTGAATTAATAATAGTATTCTTTTAAAAGATTGATTGCCCAGTTTTTCTTTGGAATATGTAACCCGATTAACCAAATTGAATTAATAATTTTATAAGAATCTGCTTAGATTGGATTACTCCTCTAAATTTTAAGCCTCTTGTTGTACTAGGAATGACTGCACCTCAAGCTGCTGGGGTTATTCACTCTGACTTTGAGAAGGGTTTCATTCGAGCAGAGACAGTAAGCATCAAGGATATGATTTTGAATTCCTATCTGTATAACATATAATAGCATTTGACTTTGCATAACAAATATTGTAAAATTAAATGCAAACAGAAAAAGGGTGATGATTTTGATATTCTATTTTTAAGATAATCTGGGGCCTATATCTGAGATACTTTGATGGTAAGAATTTTTAGTTTTTGTCCAAACTTTATGTTAGAATATGTGAAAAATATCTCATCATCAAATCTTATCAGATTATTTGTTGGAAATCCCACATCGCTTACCTATTGTCATTTGGTATGGTCTAAATACAAGTTAGGCTACTCCATATATTGTCAATTGGTTTTATGTTGGAACCTTAACATGGTATCAGAGTCAAAGTCTAACATCTTTCCGGTTATTGTCTTGAGTCAAGAGTTGCCCTTTCGTTGTGGGTCAAAGTACCCTTTGCCTGGTCCGGCAGGCTTCATTAAAGGGGACGTGTTGGAAGTCTCACATCGTCTGACTCATGTCATTTGGTATGATTTAAATATAAGTTAGGCTACTCCACATATTGTCAATTGGTTTTATGTTGGAATCTTAACAACTACCGTTGTCTAGCAACCCCATCTTTGAAAGTGCATTACCCAATCTGTCATCCCTTGAAAACCCTCTACTAAACTGATTATGCACACTTGTGCAATTTCTGTCCAGCTGTTTGTGGGTTAAGGTTTGCACCCCCTTTTGTTAAAGGACTAGACATCGAGAGTGTAAGACTAGATATTTATCGGGATTTGATAATGAACGATAATAGGTGACAAAATAGGTACAACAAACTTCGATAGATTTTGACACCACATTAGAAAGTGGATTTGGGTTTACGTAAACCATACAAAACTAGCTTTTATGGTGAGATTTATACTCCACTTATATATTATAATTTGGTTATAAATGTGAGATCTCAAACACAAAATAAGTTATGCCAGTTATGTATTATATGTATATTTGGTAGTAGTGTGTAAATAGTATTTGTAATTTGTTGATAGAAAATACTCTTAGTAGGACTTTTCTATCTAAGGACAGCCAGCAAGTATCTATTGTAGGTGATTTCTGTACTCGGCATTATATTTTATTGTTTTTATCAATTGGTGTGCTATGATGCAGAACAGTTTTAGTAAGTTTATTTGTTCTAAATATCCTAGAATTTGCTCTCTGTATTTATTTCTGTTTCATGATACTTTTGTTCTATAATGAAAACTAGTTCTGACCGTATTTGGGCAACTGAATCAAGTGAGAACCGAAAATTTATTTATTTTTATTATTTATACAATTATGTTTATTTTAAGCATGTATGAAGCTTGCTTAATGTATTCATTGTTCTTGATTAAAGATGTTATTTTAAATTAGGTGTCTTATAATGATTTTGTTGCTGCTGGTTCACTTGCTGCATCACGAGAGAAAGGACTTGTAAGTTGCTTATATCAATTTTCTCCCAGTAAACTAACTATGTTTTATTCATGTATATGATTTCAGCATTTGTAAACTAGTAAGCACCTCTGTAGAATGCTGTGTCAACATGTCCGACACGTTTGGACATGATTCTTGATGGATACACCTTTGACATGCGTTTGACAATGCAAAACTGTGTCACAATTAATTTTTGTTTTTTCACTAAATCATCTGTTTAATACATCTTAGACACTTATTTGGTACGGTTTGAGCACGGGTAAAATGGCTGAACCAACACCTATTTTCAGCTTAACACTTTATAGACAATGTTATCATAAAAAGGTAAAAATGAAATTAAAAGAAAACAATTGATATTATAAATATTACAAGACTCAAAATATTTTTAATGAAGTTTGTTTCCATAAGACTTAACTAGTTTTTTTAACTATTAAGAGATATTATATTTCTTAGAACTCTATTGAGGGCCACTATTATAGGGAAACTGTAAAACAGCATTTTTTTTTTTACATTGTGAATTATTTAAATCTTAAATTTCAATTGTGATTTTTGTTATGTTATTTATATATATCAGCTAGGTGGTGTCTTATATTTTGGACATTTTCCATGGGCATTTGTGTCATGTCCGGTGTCCGTGTTGGATGGTGCTTCATAGTTTGTAAAATGTTCATTAACTGTGTAGTTGACAGTTTTTATAAAATTTGATTTTAATAATTTTGATCAAATGGATTTTTGTTCAACATGTCTTTAAATAACTGAAATATACTTCGTTTTCTAAGATTCTTGTGCCTATAAATGATTATCTGAACTGGTACATTAATGGCACATTAATTAGTTTATTTAATACTCTGCATAACATCTTTGTACCTGAGGTTGGAACTATTGTTTCACGATTTATTTTCCCTTATCTTCTTTCATTGAGATATTAAAACCTAACTGATCAAATGGACGTTGTTTAATGTTTACTTGCAACAGTTTAATGATAGTAGGTTAAGGAAGAACATGAATTCTTGAATAATCTGAATATGTTGAAATGAAAGGGTGTATATTGCCTCTCATGTATTCAGGAGATTAGTTCCCTTTGTTATGTTATTTGCAGTTGAGATCTGAAGGTAAAGACTACGTTGTACAAGAAGGAGATGTCATGTTGTTTCGGTTCAATGTTTAGCAGAATTTACTACTACACCAGTTAGGAGTCAGTGGAGAATTTGAGATATATTTTTGACTGAGGTCAGAATTTTTGTTTTCAGCCAATTGGTGATTATAGTTTGGATAAGCATTGTTTGTTTAAAGTGTCCATTGACAAATGCTCCTCTTCTAGGATAAAATGGAGAAGTTGAGATATCATTACATTTTGGCAAACTTGATGGCTAGAGGTCAGAATATTTTTTGCAGCCAATTCCTGGTTAAATTTGAAGAGATATTGTTTTGTTGTATTGAAAATTTTAAAATTTTAAAATTTTTCATTAGTGTAATACAATAAATGTGCTTGAATATTTATGATATAATAATTAGGGTGAAATGTCTCTCTCTTTTGTAAGTATTTGACTGACAATTTAATATATAAGAAAAAAATATATGCTATACATGCCATGTTCTTGTGCGTTGTAGTAATGTACACAAACAGTTCCCTTCACATGCCTCTTTTTTTAATTCATAGCTAATGCTCAAGTTATATACTAGAGTTGGCATTAGTGAATTATACAGATTTCATAGGTTTAAGAAAGTTATTAAATTTGTCACGCAAAGAAAAAGTGCTGAAATATGATCAAGAAAAATGTCTGTTGGGTTTAAGATTTATGATAAGGAACAGAACAATGTTTTGCAATTTTTTCTGACAAGGCTCAAGTAGTATATGATGTTATAGAGTGAATACCCATTTCAGCAGTAAGAAAAATTACTCTATCTAATTTAGTTCCTGAAGAAAAGTAGGTCAACAAATAGTCCATCAAGAGTACAAAAGGTGGAACATTTTAATCCTTCATCCATTTCAATTAATACTTTCAAACGTGTGTTTCGTTTTATTCTACAAAAAAAAAAAAAAAAAAAAACAAAAAAAAAAAAATCTGGTATGATGAATGTTTGAAAAACATAAAACCATGAGACAATAAAATATAAACATGGACATCAAAGTTTAACATTGATAACTATATTCTTGGTCGGTAAGGAAACAATTATATTTCAGCAGGATCATCATCGGTGATTGTCACCAATGAGTAGACAAGACCCATCCACCAGCTAATCTTGCTTAGGCATGTAATATACATTTTTAAATCTATTTCTGCTTAGCTTCCAAGTCATAAGTAATTTTTGGTTCAGCAAAGAAGCCAAAAAGATAAAAATAAAAATTAAAAACTAAGAATGAAAGTATATGAAGCATGATGAGAAGTGAAGAAGATATTCATTTGCTTTGAAGCAAAATCCCTGTGCATGACACACCAGAACAGTCACACTTCCCTAAATGTGATGTGCTACAAAAGCAAATATTCTTTCTACATGGTACAATGACGTTAACAAAACATTATCAGTCATTAAAGGGTTACAATCCTAATTTAATACTTAAGTTTTTGAGTTGAAGAGAAAACAAAATAAAGTGAATTTCTTGGTGTGTTCAACAAAATCATTTTATAAAGAATTGGAAAAAAATTGGATTTGTATATTGATTGATATGTTTGCAAGATAGTTTCTCTTCATGTTTTTTTTTCTTTTAATTTATTGATTCTTTTGATGAGCAATTCATATTTAACAATTAGATGAAAAATAATACAAAATACTCGAATTTATTGGCAAGAAAATGAAGCATCATTGAAGTCAAAAACATCATTGTGACGACTCCATGGTTCCGTGAGTAAGGAAAGAGAAAGCCATGCGTACGTAAAATGAAAGGTATTCCTCTCTGTCCTCATGCATGCTTAAACATGAGATTATGTCAACCTTAATAATGATAATTAAGGATAATTATGTATCAGATGCTTTTTCATTTTTTTAAGCACAAAATCGTACTAAAACTTTAAAATAATAATGTCTCAAACATGAAAATAAATCTTAAACGAATATATCCATGGTAAGACTCTTTTCTAAGGTTATGAGCACGAGTACATAATATAATTTAAGTTTTTACAAGAGTTTTTCTATTATTATTTTTGTCTTCGAATAAAAACCATTATGATATTATGTTAAAATTATATAAATGATAAATATATTATTTAATTAAATTAAGAACCTAAAAATCGTATAATTATTTAAATTAACATTGTTTATTATATTTTTATTTTCAGTGTTAAACTTTCCATAGTTGATGGTAACAATTAAAAAAAATATTTCAAAAGTTAGGGATTAAAGTTAACAAGTCCTTTACAATATTCAAATCAAATGGAGTTATGATTGTAGGAATTTATATATATTTAAAGTTAATAAAAAATTAAAAATATTTTATTATAAGTTTAATTATGATTTTATTCTTGCAAATATGATTTTGTTTGGTTTTTGTTGAATATAGAGGAAATACAGTTTGAGATAATCTCCCTTGTGTATAAACCACACATAGGGTAATTTATTTATAATAGAGAGGTACAACTAAGAGAGTTACCGAAAATAAACAAAATAAACAGAAGATATTGTTTGATATTGTAGTTAACAATATCTAACAATATCTTAACAATATCTAACACTCCCCTCAAGCTGGAGCACACAAATCGTATGTGTCAAGCTTGTTACAAATATAATCAATTCTAGGTCATCGTAAAGACTTAGTAAAAATATCTACTAACTGATCACTTGAGTTAACAAACTCAGTCTTGATGTCTCTAGACATAATCTTTTCTCGAATGAAATGACAGACAATCTCAATGTGTTTGGTCCTCTCATGAAAGACAGGATTAGAACTAATATGAAGAACAGCCTGATTGTCACACACAAGTGTCATTTCCAAATTGTAACTCTCCAAGCAATTGCTTGAGCCAAACAAGTTCACAGGAAGCTAAGGTCATAGCTCTATATTCTGCTTCTGTACTGGATCTTGCCACAACACTCTATTTCTTACTTTTCCACGAAATCAAGTTACCACCAATAAAGACACAATATCCAGATGTAGATCTTCTATCCGAAGGAGATTCTGCCCAATCAGCATCTGAGTAGCAAACAACTCTTGTATGGTTATTAGAACCATATAATAATCATTTTTCAGGAGATCCTTTAATATACTTCAAGATACGAATGACTGCATTCCAATTATCTTCACATGGGAAATTAAGAAATTGGCTTACCACACTGACTGCAAAGGAAATGTCAGGACGAGTAACTGTAAGATAATTTAATTTTCCAACCAATCTTCTATACTGCTCAGGATCAAATATAGGCTCCCCCTAATTTGGTAGAAGTTTAGTATTAGGATCCATGGGTGTATCAACAGACTTTGAACTCATCAACCCAATTTCCTCCAAAATATCCATGACATACTTCCTCTGAGATATAACAATACCATCATTGGACTGTGCCACCTCAATACCCGAGAAATATCTAAGTTTGTCAAGATCTTTGGTTTGAAAATGGTGACATAGATGTTGTTTCAACTAAGAGATGTCATGGTTGTCACTACTTGTAAGAACGATGTCATCAACATATACTATCAAGTAAACACATCCAGCACTCGAGTGTCGATAAAAGACAGAATGATCTGCTTCATATCGAGTCATACCAAATTGTTGAACAACCTTGCTAAACTTTCCAAACCAGACCCTAGGAGACTGTCTTAGGCCATATAGAGATTTGTGAAGACGACATACCATCCCAGAAGACTCTCCCTGAGCAACAAACCCAGGAGGTTGCTCCATATAGATTTCTTCTTGCAAATCACCATTGAGAAAAGCACTTTTAACATCCAGTTGGTAAAGAGACCATTGTTGAAGAGCGGCCATGGCGATAAATAAATGAACAGAAGTCATTTTTGCCACGGGGGAAAAGGTATCTCCATAATCCAACCCAAAAATTTGAGTATAACATTTGGCCACAAGACGAGCTATGAGGTGATCAATAGTATCATCAGGTCCAACTTTGATAACAAACACCCACCTACAACCAACAACAGATTTTCCAGACGATAATGGGACCAATTCCCAAGTTCCACTATTATGAAGAGCACTTAGTTCATCTAACATGGTCTGACGCCAACCAGGATGGGCTAAAGCTTCACGAACAGTTTTTGGAATGGTCACAGAAGAAATAGAGGAAAGACATGTATGAAAAGGTAATGACATTCGATGATAACTCAAAGAAATATAATGGGGAGAGGGATTACGTGTAGAACGGATACCTTTTCGGAAGACAATGGGAAGGTCAGACTCAGGTGTCAGATCCGGAGGAGACAGAGTAGTTGACACTTGAGTGGAGTTATATGGTGGTGGTTGTGATTGATTTCAACAACTATAAACCTAAAGAGGCGGTGGAGAAGAAGCTAATTGCGGAATAGGAACTAATGGTGAAGAAGACATAGTTAGAGGGTCACACACAACATGAACATTAAATATACTAGGAGTGTTGACAGGATTGGATGGAGACAAAGGTGAAGATTGAATTTTAAAATAAAGAGAGAATTCATCAAAGGTGACATCTGCAGATACAAAATAATGGTTAAGAGAAGGAGAAAAACATTTGTATCCTTTTTGTGATCTTATAAACCCTAAGAAAACACATTTATGTGATCTAGGAGAAAGTTTATCAAGACCAGGACTTAAATTATGAACAAAACATGTAGATCCGAAAACTCTTAAAGGTAAGGAATGAAGAGGTTCATGAGGGAATAAAATGGAATGAGGTATTTTATTATCTAAAATTGAAGAAGGCATGCGATTAATGAGATAACATGTAGTAAGAAGAGCATCACCCCAAAAATGTTGAGGAACCTCTCCATAAATTAAAAGAGTGCGAGTTGTTTCAATAAGATGTCTATTTTTGCGTTCAGCTGCACCATTTTGTTGAGGTGTATAAGCACAAGAAGTTTGATGCAAGATACCGTGAGAAACCATGAATTATTTAAAAGAATGAGAAAGATATTCACTACCATTATCATTGCGCAAAACTCTAATAGAAACACCGAACTGAGTTTGAATTTCATTGAAAAAAGTTTGAAAGATATGAAATAATTCAGAACGATTTTTCATCAAAAATAAC